TTTTTAACCACACACAGAGATGTACGCGTATTCATAGGCATCGTTCTTACATTTAACCATTAATACAATACGCCTTTTTTTGATTCATTATTATCTCATGTGAATGAAAAGTAAGGTCTTCATCCTATTCGCACCAAACATAACATGAAACTTTTAAATGGTATTCTTGAAAAAGTCAAATAAATAATTTTTTGATTGCTCGACACCAGAATAAAGACTCGGATCTGTGATTATGGATGTAGGATATTGCAAAGGATATTGCAAATCATAGGTTTTCAAACCCCAACATTTTACTGAAGAAAACCCAGCTGAAACAAACTGTCTTTTCCTTAAATTTGAATATACCAATAACGGAATTCATGCGGTTGATATAATTAATACTGCAGTATTCTTTATCACAAAAGGATCCAGTCTTGTATTCAACCATGTTTCAACTTAAAGACTACACCTTATATTTCCTACAAATATACATCGACCATTGCTTCAAAACTTTTTAATTACAAGAAAAGACCTTTACCAGGCTTGGATACTGAATATATGAAACAAAATCCTGAATCGCGTTCATGTCCTTCTTCACCCTATAACTATAGTCTTCTTAGACACGTTATTACAGGTGACGTAAATATAGTTAATAATGAAGACCTTAGATCTCAAATTTTAAAAGGTCCTAAATAAAGGGATACCTGATCCTTCGACTGCCGTAGGAATTTCATAAATATCACGGATTCTGTTGAAGAATACACCAGGCAATGGGTCAGATATGAAAAAGATGTTAACACTTTGTCATAATGGATTAAATGTATCAGATCCATTAAAATATTGCGTATAAGAAGATTAAGGGGCAATATGAAAGTCATATTGCTTTCGTTATTCAATAATCCAGAAGTGACACTGAATTAGATAGATTACATGATCAATACGTACTGGTCCCTGCTGGCAAGGCAGGTAACAACATTGTCTTCGTTTGTAAGGCTCATTTTAAATTGTTTTGTAGAAGAACTTGGATTTAATTCAACAAATAAAAATCCAATTTACATCCATAGTTCCCTTTCTACGGAAAAAAAAATCTAAATAATACAGTGTACATGTATATCAGTTTCGAATACTTTTAATATCCTAAAGAACCAAAATGAATTTGAACTACCATATATATAGTGGATTCCAAAACTTCACCAGAATCCTTACAAAAAGATACATAGCGGGTTCCAGTCAATGTTAAACCAAGCCTATTTCTTTACTCCTTACTTAGATATTAACCGTAATGAAGGAGAATCGTCAAGAGTAGTGTGCAACAATATATTAAAAAAATTGTGTAAATCAGATGTGGATGCTTTAAAATTCCAAGGATTATTTGGACAATTCGGAGTAACTAGCTTAAAATATTATGCCTTTTCAACTTTATACACAGCCATTCTCTTCGACTTCGATAAGTCCAAGCTTTTCGATATCATTGACAACTGCTTTTACAATATAAAAATTTACCTTCCTTAAAAAAGCTTTCCATTGGTCATTTCTAAATTATTTTGTTTAAAAAACATTCCGATTGTACACACAAATACTCTTTAGTCGACAACAAAAAGATGCTTTAGTTTCTGATTGACAATATCTATATTGTTTGTGGAGACCAGGCCTTCCAAAAAATTTATTGGAAATTCCATGGGTACCCATTGCCCCCCGTTATAAGCAGACTTATTCCTGTATTCATATGAAACAGAATTAGTGCAAAATCTTATGCATTAAACGAAGAAAACACAAACACTTGCTTCGGCTTTCAATTTGACATTTATAGATATCGACGACGTATTATCGGTTGACAATGCATATGGTAATTTCTATTCTTATGTAGATACGATATACCCTGTTGAGCTTGAGATAAAATATACCACAGAGTCTGACAAATCTGTTTCATATTTGGATATTTTACTTGCAAAAGACGTTAATATTAATCTGATATTAATCTGACAAAAAAGCTCTATGATAAACGTGATGACTTGAAATTTTCTATCGTCAAGTTCCATTATTCATGCAGCAATATACTTTCATCACATGCATACGGGGTATCTAAGTTGATTCAATACGCAAGAGCATGATTTAAGTATGAACAATGTAAAATGAGTAAATTATTGAAAAACAAGTTGACGAAACAAGAATATCAGCAGTTTTGAATTCGTTTAAAGTCATCATTTAGAAAGTTCTATAGCCAGTACAATGCCATTGTCAGCTAGTACAATTTATTATTGATTCAAATGCTGACTAAGTTTTTCATACGAATTGTTGATCCATTCTTTATGCACTGAATTTAAGACGGATCTTCTCGTTATTTTATATAATGATAAAGAGCATATGGCCTGTGACAGGTCAGCATGGGATGCTCACTCCTCATGGTATCTGACCTCTATCTGACATCTACCTCTGATGTTTCGGAGGTCCGTTTTTCTGCTTCCATTTTGTATCGCTTTATGGACTTTTGTTTTTGCATTCTGTTTTTTATCTCTATGTTTCATACCGTTGCAATGTAGAATTAATCAGAAACAACATATGTTCATATTTAGTTGACAATCTATGCTTTTTACGTAAAATGATTTTTTTTTAAAACGAAATAGTTTATTTAATTCATTAATGCTATAAAATTATGGATGCATCATATTATATAAGGTAAAAGAGTCTATTTTTATAGTCACTTTTAGATAAAAAATACATTGATACTGCTTTAAAAATATGACATATTGGTGAAGAACATGATAAACACGTGTTTCTCAATTAATTTTATGTTGAGAATAAACTATTATAGTACTTCATTAAGGTTAGAAACTAGTGTATCATATTAATAATGCAGAGATAGAGAGAGAGAGAGAGAGAGAGAGAGAGAGAGAGAGAGAGAGAGAGAGAGAGAGAGAGAGAGAAAGAGAGAGAGAGAGAGAGAGACACAGACAAAGAGAAAAATAGGAGGAGTCTGATTCCAATTTTTTAATTATTGGCAGAAAAAAATCACTTAACGATCGTTTTAAAGTTCCAAAATACTACAGAAAAGTGCTATTTTTAAATGAAATTGATATGGTTTACATTCAAATTTTGCCCTATGATTTTCTAAAAAATGACAATGGTGTAAAAGTTGTAAACTTATAGTGACCGTTGTTATTCGATGCAGAAAAATCATTCACATAATTTTTCTCACATGTGTTTTTAAATGCTAATTTTGACGTCATAAATATGTGAATTTTCCCGTTTTTTCTTAAAAAGTTGCAGGATACATCACAATAGGTATGCTAATAACAGAGCGCGATTGGTACTCATGGGAATTCCAAAAAATTGTTGGAAGACCTGGTCTCCAAAACCACATAGAGATCGTCAATCAGAAACTCAATCATGTTTTTGATGTCCACTTCAGAGTACTTGTGTGTGCAATCAGAATGAGTTCCATTTTTATTGAAAAAGCAGCTGTCAATGATATCATCGCCTTAAAATTTTGAATATGTCCACATTTTTAAATTGTTTTGAATATTTTCTTGAATTACAAAAATGTTATAATTAATATAACTATAATACATAACAAAATTTAACCAGATTAATTACAATTTTAGGCATATTGAATTTTGTGTGTGCTTTATTTTAGGAGACAGTATTGAGGTATGTTATTAATTTTTAAGCTATATTTGTACTTGTCTATTTCGATCAATACAAAATCCTGTGCTTTGCTCAAAGACTATATGTGTGCTCGCCCGCCTGGCGCAGTGGTTAGAGCGTCTGCTCTATAGTCGCGAAGTAGGAGTTGATCTTTACGTCGCAGGTTCTAAACCCTTTGTAGGACGTGGAGACCAGTCATTTGGATGAGACCGTATAAACAGAGGTCTCGTGTCGCAGTAGGTGCTGGCACGATAAAGATTCCTCCCTGCTCAATGGCCCTGAGTGCCGAGTATAGGACAAATTTTGCAGGTCTCCACTGATGGTGGTGGCGTCTCCATATGAGTGAAAAATTCTCGAGAGGGACGTTTAACAAAATACAATCAAGCAAAGACTATGTGATTGTTTGGGTACATGTAGATCAGATCTATATAGAAAACTGATTTATTACAGTTGAAAATGTATGCATTATATGATCAAATTTATGATTATCAAAGATATAAAAATGTTTATTTTAATTACCTTTCACTTTCAACATGATTATTAACTGCATTTGTACCGGAAGACTTTAACTTGTCCAGAAAAATTAACTACCCAAAGTGTAAACTTATATAATGATAATGAGCGTGGAAAATTCATATCCTTCCTTATCAGTATGAACTTTAAATACTCCCCATCAGGATTTAACAGATGAATAACGTGATTTCGTGGATCTGTTACAAGAATGTTACATTCTTGATCAAACTCCACATCACATGGATAAAAGCCATTTTTCAGATTCAGTCCAGAGTAAACAGACCTAAGATCCCCAGAAGCTGAAATAATCATTAGTTCACCTAAAAAACTGCCGGTTATATTCAAAACACAGATGTCAGTGTTTTTACTTTGCCTGATTCTGATTGGATCCGCGAACAATCTAGTATGACCATCCCTCTTAAATTCAAACTCGCGGATGACATCGCCTTTCAGAGTAATATTTCTCACTAGGCGTCTACTCTTTGAGTCTAATAGTAAAGGATTGTCAGATAAATCGTCTCGTAACGTAACAAGAAGTCCACCAGTTACTGACAAACAAATTCCTCTCGGTAACAGTGGGTATGTCTTGAAGACGGTGGAGATAGACCCCGCTGGGGACAAACAGCAAATCGATGTGAGCACTCCATCTGTAAAATATATATCTTTGCTTTCAGTCACACAAAAATCATAATAAGAAATATCGACTTTGTTTTTTATTTCACCTAGCCTGTTGACATTGTCCAAGAAATCTGACTTGGAGTCACCTATGAAACATTCGTCGTTACTGGATGCCCTTAGGATATTCAGTGCAGGTTTCTTCTCCCTGTATTGAAATGAATTTGTTACGGTTACATTGTCATCCTTTAAGTCCCAAATCTTTCACTGATCTCCTCCAATAAGTCTTCATTGATTTCTTTTTGTTTATATCTTAATGAATATTCAAAGTTCATTATATCAGACTCTTTTTCAGAAAGTTTTTTAAGTTCTCTGCAGGTATCAATCAACCTGTAATCAGACATGGTAGTGTTCTTTTCTTTTAGAAATTTTACTAAATCCTCAATTTGCTTCCTGCTTTTTTCTAGATAATTTTTTTCATGATGTAATTTTTCAAGCGCTTCTCTCAGATTGTTTTGAAGTTTGTCTATGAGATGATTTTTCAATTTAAGCAATCTTGCTATGATATCATCACAATGTTCCAACAGTTTCTTTATCTCTGATTCACACTGATTCTGATTATATTTCCTCAGTTTTGAAGCTTTTTCAATTTCTTCGTCTATTCTTGGTAGTCTTTTATCTGAGATTTTCTTGAGAAATGTAGACAGTTTTCTTCTCGTGTGACTAGCTGTCGTGGAAAGGATATTCCAATTATGATCTTTATGGTCAGCTTTAGCACATTTAGAACAAATGAACTCATCACAGTCTTCACAAAATGTAGAAAGAAATTCCTGGTGTTTATTGCACGTTGGAATGTACATGTGTTGTTGAGCTGAACCCAAAGAAAACCTTACTAATTTACTGGTTGCCATTGGGAAAGTTTGACGCAGATTAAAACTAGCTTAGATATTTTTATTTGATATTCAGTCTGATAAGTAAGTTGATACTGATAATCACATCAGCTAATAAACCTTTGTGTTCAGTCATATGATATTTCAAGCTTTAAATAAACACATCCCACCTGTGATGTTTCGGAGGTCCGTGTTTGCTCTTATCTTGTATTTTTTTTATGGACTTTGATATTGAATACTGTTCGTTATCTCCATATCCTTCATGTAGTAAAGAACACCCTGATAGAACAATGTAAAATGTAAAGATAACGGAGAGATCCATCTCGTAAATTAAGTAAGCAAAGAAATCACGAACGGACGAAAACATGGATTTGTTGAAACACCAGAGATGGGATCATGTGCCAAATGGGGAGTAAGTATCCAATGTAACACCGGTAACACGCCATGCCATTATGCATTGATCAGTTAGGCGGAGTAGTCAAATTTAATACAAAAGCAACAAGAGCAATGATTATCCAATTCTTTGAAATATGTAAGGTTAAATTCGATCAATAATGATAGGTTGAATTGAGAGAAAATGTCAACATTATGACCGTAATATTTCGAAAAATCGGACTGAAACATTGTTGCTCAAATCTTTGTTACATCAACGTATTTCTCAGTAACGTATGCATGTTTGAAAAATTAATCGTATTCAGAGCAAGCCATATAAGGCAATATTGGAATATTGCTTAAACAATGGGAAATTGTTTTCTCGAAGAACAAGGGAAACTCTAATATGATAATCACTTCATACAGGAAACGGCTATTGATATCCTTCTTATACTGCAACTCTAGAGCATAAACCGAGGCCACTTAGGACAGTAGGCGGTAAAAGATCCATCAATGCTCGAAGATGTTTGGTGCCGAACGCAGGTCTAAATAAAATGGAGTCTCAACTAAATTTTGATTTGTTTCAACTATTTTTTTATGCAATTATCACTTTTTAAAGCTTTGTTTATAAATGACTCACGCATCACCTTACAAAAACCTATGCTGAAGCACACATTTGAATTGATTAAATTTTACTTTTCAAAGTTGAGCAAAATAAAGTTGAATTGGTAAAAGGAAAATACTGAAACTCCAGATGGACATGTTTTCACTAGAATTATTTTTCCATTTTACATCTCCTTACCTGTATTGTTGCAATGCTACTGAATTTGTACAACTATATCCGAATGCAGATAATTTTTATTTCCCAATACCCCAGTGCGAGATTTCCATTACTATGCAGTATGAATGCAGGCTCAGTCAGGTATTGTGCATTATAATGTCTATCAATGTCAAGTCAGTCAATGCATACATTGGCCGACATCACATCAGTCAGTCAATGCAGGCATTGGCCGACTGCACAGCCAGTCAATGCAGGCATTGGCCGACTGCACATCAGTCAGTCAATGCAGGCATTGGCCGACTGCACAGTCAGTCACTCAATACAGGCATTGGCCAACTGCGCAATCAGTCAATGCAGGCATTGGCCCGCTGTGCAGTCTGTCAATGCAGGCATTGGCCGACTGCTCCTCAGTCAATCAATGCAGGCATTGGCCGACTGCGCAGTCAGTGAATGCAGGCATTGGCCGACTGCTCATCAGTCAGTCAATGCAGGCATTGGCCGACTGCACATCAGTCAGTCAATGCAGGCATTGGCCGACTGCGCAGTCAGTCAATACAGGCATTAGCCGACTTCGCAATCAGTCAATGCAGGTATTGGCCCACTGTGCAGTCAGTCAATGCAGGCATAGGCCGACTGCACATCAGTCAGTCAATGCAGGTATTGGCCGACTGCGCAGTTAGTCAATGCAGGCATTGGCCGACTGCACAGTCAGTCAATGCAGGCGTTGACCTACTTCATAGTCAGTCAATTTAATACACCTCATTCTTCACAGTGGATCTTGAAGCCCCAGGCTTGGCTGACTTTGACAAACTGTTCTATAAAATATGGCCGTTTGATTGTTAATAATTATCATGCCAAGAATATGTATACTCAGTAATGATAAACAATATCATTTTGATTTGAAAATAATTTAATTTTGTTCGTATTCTATTCTCTCATTGGTTGATCTCCAAAAAGGAACGCAAATTATTTCTTAATAATCTGGTTTGGTGTGGGGACAGACCCCCTTGACAACCAGCTGAATCATCTGTATCCATACAATCCCCTCATTTCCAGTCCTTGGGATTCATGGGAAATTCCAGATTTAATAAATGTTCATGTACCTTTTAACTTCAAACGGTAGCTACGATCTACCTCGTGTAAACAAACATCATGGCTGCTAGATTTGTATTATCAGTTATTACCTCCCCTTGTTTCATATCACTTCCGTTACTAGGGATGTATTATTGAGCGGCAAATTTGAACTCATAAAAAGCAACACAATTTTACACCCACAGTTGTTAAATTATTCGCGGATTATAAAGCGTAAACTGGCCCAAACCAGGTTATCATCGAATAATTTGGCCAAGAATTAGTCATTCCTTAAATACGTCCTTTTTATCGTTGTATTTTTAAATGATCTTCTAAACCCCCTGGCCTATTAACGTTTCGCGGATTTTAGTTTCTTTAATTTTGCGACGTCAATAAGTACGTAGTGCATTGATTCACCCAACAGTTAGGACAGTTTAAATGATCATTCACAAAGCAAAATAATATGTGGGCGATTCCAAAAATGTGGAATTTTCATTATGCAGTGGAAAAACCCAGTTGTGGTCTTCTTGAAGCAAAGCTTCGTCCAGTGTATCTCTATCCTATAGTATGCGTTTTCAAGACGGAAAGTTCCAGCTGCAGATTACTCACATTGAAGGTTTGTAAAAGTACCATGCTTGTATTTATGCAACTATATTGTGTTTATTTGGCAAATGCTTCAACTATTATTCAAAATAACTTGCCCTTTTCCAAAGTAATATAATATAATAAAAAAAAAAGGAAAATGCTTGTAACTATTTTTAAGGTTCTTTGGGGTTGGGATTTTCCAGTTTTGATGTACAGCTTCTTTCTAAAGTAAAAAACCCCGTCTGTTGTTAAAATAGTGGCCAACGACCATATCATAAGGTTTTCATTAAATATTGTGACTCACTACATATATTTGATTATTGAGTGATGATTACATGAATACATAAAATTAAAAATCTGCGAAAGAAGCATTGGAATTAATATTTAGAGCGTATAGCACTAATTATTATGTTTGGACAATACGATGAATTGTAATTATTTGGTGAAACAATGCCGAAAATGATATACAAATTTACACTAATTCAAACAATCTTGTGTAACTAACTCCGATTCTATTTTCAGGCGAAGTACTGAGAACTGCACAACTAAATGGATTCTTTTGGAATCAAAAAGACAACATTTTGACAATGCAATAAGATTCTACGCAAATTTTTTTATCAAACTGTCCTTGAAAATACATCGTTTTAATTTAATTTAACTTTTCTGCAAATATTCTTCTCCAAAAATTAAAATAAACTTAAAATTGATAAATCATCATAACTTGAATTTAGAAGTCTGCTGTTAAAAACCTGTTTTGACAAATACAATATATACATAAATAACTATATCTTTTACTAGGAAGATTTTATTTGTATTAGTTGTATGAATAAAAGGTATTCCAATGCTTGCATTCCCCATACTGTTGTGGTGGAATGTACAACGCCTGCATTGCATCAGTCTTTGGAGTCTATCATTGACTGCATTGGCACTTATGTGCAGTCGGCCAATGTCTGCATTGACTGACTGATGTGCTGTTGGCCAATGCCTGTATTGACTGACTGATGTGCAGTCGGCCAATCCCTGCATTGACTGACTGATGTGCAGTTGGCCAATGCCTGCATTGACTGACTGTGAGTTGGCCAATGCCTGCATTGACTGACTGATGTGCTGTTGGCCAATGCCTGTATTGACTGACTGATGTGCAGTCGGCCAATCCCTGCATTGACTGACTGATGTAGAGTCGGCCAATGCCTGCATTGACTGACTGATGTGCAGTGGGCCAATGCCTGCATTGACTGACTGATGTGCAGTGGGCCAATGCCTGCATTGACTGACTGATGTGCAGTTGGGCCCAAAGCCTGCATTGACTGATTTGGGATGGCCAATGCCTGCATTACTGACTCTGTTCAATGCAGGAATTGGCTGACTCTCTCAAGGTCCAATGCATGCATTGCCATTCTCCAGAGAGCCAATGCAGGCATTGACGGACTTCCCTTTAGAGCGTGAGAGAGTAGCCAATGCCTGCATTGGCCCCCGAGAGCCTTTCAATGCCAGAGTGACCATAGATAAAAGAGGGGGAAAAAGGGGAAAGAAAGAGATATTCACATTGCCTGCATTGGCTCTTTTGATAGTTGTGCAATCTGTATTGGCCAACGATAAACACACTGCCTTCAGAAATTGCGATGAAAATCTGGCATTGACTTAAAATAATAGCCACCAATCTATTGCAAGTTTATTCACTTTCCTGGTTTAAAATACATTTTGTATTCCTTTATGCCAAATTGCATTAGTCAATTACATTTAGAACAAATTCGATTGCATATGTGATTAAGATAAAACAAAAATCAGAATGACTAAAAATTCAAGAAATTGAATGGACATCATGTCATTGTTCCCGTCGTTACTTGTTTCATATGAATTTGGAAATGGAATAATACCATACCATTTGATTGGACTAATTTTGTAATCAAAAACAACTTCTTTTACAAATCTATTAAATTATATTTACTTTGGTAATAGAAGTCAAAGTGTCTTCCAAAATCGCCCATAACATCGGACTTTAATTAAAAAAAGATTTTTAGACAATAAAAATTAGTTGAGCCCCATTATATGTAATCTTCATCGGCAACTGGTTAAGTCCAAAATTCAATGCAAAGATCTCGAAGAATTTAAAACAACGGAACAAACAAGCGAAACGTAGTGATGTTAAAAAAATTCAATTTTAGATTAACCTTTTTCAACGTCAATGCATTTTAAGTCTATCTCACTCACT